AGATTTACTTACTTAGTAAATTGTGATATCAAAAGTCTGTGGTGTTCCAGCACTGGAAGTAGAAATGGGGAAAGAAAGTAATGGTAAATGAATCTGTGAGTTAGATAAAGGTCTACATATAGCAGAACAGACTCTCAGCAACCTGGCAAAAATTCTGTTAAAGTCAAGTTTCTTCCTCACAGACTAGTAAATCAATTTGTACTGATGAACACTTTCGTATTATAGGGTTCCAGAATTTTTCATGGGCATTAGTCACCCCAAAGCCAAATTGTCTGTCAGATTACCACAAAACCAGGTAATTTCTGTACATGTGTATCTATACCTCTTTGATCTCTGTTAGTGGGTTCTGTTACTCCTGTGCTTTTTGTGTATCTCTGTGTCCTTTACTGTAGTTGTTGTCACGTGAGAGTAAGAGTTTATTCTGCATGGCCTCAGCATGTCTTTGAAGAACAATAAAAAGGTCTCTCTTAGAGGCTCACTTCTTGAAAACATTAAAGCTGGAGTTTTATTTCAAGTGGAACTCTTCTAATACTAACATAAAAAAGCTTCTGCATTTGTTAGAGAAAACTGCAAGCTAGTCTTCGATAAAAGGCTGAACGATGTTTGTTCAGGCACAAAGATGGTTAAAATAGGCATATGCTGTTCTTGCACAGTCTCAGTAGTAGTGAGCACCCTGAACCGAATAAAGCAAAGAAAAAGCCCTTCATAGCATCCTGGGCTGAACAAATGGAGAGATGTAAATATGTCCATTTCAAGACTAAGTTTACAGGTTCTCAAAAGAAAGGAGCTGAGTGGGAGACAGCTATAGTCTATGGACAGGAAGGTGGCGACAGCCAGTGTGGAGTCCCCAAAAGTAAGAGTGCAATATGAGTATCATTAATACTAGAGCTGTTCTCTGCTGCTCGCATTCGGACCAGATTGAGTTCAGGTGCAGGACCACTTTTCACTTAGACATCTTTGACTTGGCAAGGTTACACAATATAGTTTTTCCGCCACAAGTTTCTTTTTTACTACCTGGATCACAACGCACCCAGTCCAATTCTGGGCACTGGGGATACCGGTCACATTTCTCTGTGGGGATTTGAGATCCCTCTTCTCCAGAACTTGTCAAAGCACAACAAAGTCGTCAGTGTGACTCTCCTGGGATCCCAATTCACTCTCCATAGCCAATTTTGGACAACTTTTTCTAGATGTGGAGTTCTGGTTTATTCTGATTTTCACTTTGCATATTTTTTTGTGATCTCTGTGCACGTCCATTCCCATGAGAGTTTTGTTCATCACTCCTGCAGGCCTCGTGCTGGGACACCAATGAAACCCCGGTGCTTGGTTTTTCAAAGAACTGCAGGGTTTGCTTTTCAATGATTTCAGGATTGGTCTGCCAAGAGCTGTGGAAAAAATTAAATGTAGAAAAATAATAATAGGACTATTGTTCTCATCAAACACTGGAAATAACAAAAATAAACAAAGCATAGGTCAGGACCTGCACTAACCATAAAAAAAGGAGTTCCTCTTGTTCTTTCAGCAACCAGTGTACGCTGGCACTAGTCAGCCAAGGCTGTATATACTTAATCTGCATATTGCATATTCATGCTCAGTTGTATGTAACTGCCCTAGTAACAATGCACATTCCCATTGCCACTGCAGTGTTTTGCCACATCTTCCCTGCTTCTCTGTTTTCTCTGCCGTGGATTTACTGTCTTCGTAACAGAACTCTGTGCCCATTCCCCAGTTGCCTGCCTTTGGCCTCTTGGTTCTTAAGTCCTTAAATATTTGTCTCCCAGAGATGGGAGAAAAGGGAATATCACAGCCATTTTTTACAAGGATAATAAAGAGGACCCTGGGACCTACAGACCAGTCAGCCTCACCTCAGTGCCTGGTAAGATGATGGAACGGATCCTCCTGGAAGCTATGTCAAAACATATGGAAGACAGGGAGATCATTAGAGACAGCAAATATGGCTTCACCAAGGGCAAATCATGCCTGACTAATCTAGTGGCCTCCTACAATGGAGTCACCGCATCAGTGGATAAGGAAAGAGCAACTGATGTCATCTACCTGGACTTCTGTAAGGTCTTTGAAATGGTCCTCCACAATGATCTTGGAGAAATACGGATTTGATGGATGCATTGTAAAATGGATAAGGAATTGGCTGGATGGCTGTATCCAAAGAGTTACAGCCAATAGCTCAATGTCTAATGGAAACCAGTAACAAGTGGTGTCCCTCAGGGGTCTGTACTGGGACAAATATTGTTTAATATCTTCATCAGTGACAGAGATAGTGGGATGGAGTGCACCCTCAGCAAGTCTGTGGATGACACCAAGTCGAGTGATGCAGCTGATTTGCTAGAGGGAAGGGATGCCATCCAGAGGGACCTTGACAGACTTGAGGAGCGGGCCCATGTGAACCTCATGAAGGGCCAGAAAAACAGAGGGCTGGAACACCTTTCCCATGAAGGAAAGCTGAGATAGTTGGGGTTTTTCAGGCTGGAGAAGAGAAGGCTGAGGCAAGACCTTGTTGCAGCCTTTCAGTATATGAACGGAGCTTATAAGATGGGAAAAGACTTTTCAGAAGGGCCTGAAGTGACAGGCCAAGGCAAAATGGTTTTAAACTGAGAGAGGGTAGATTTCGATTGGACATAAGGAAGAAATTTTTTATTATGAAGGTGGTGAGACATTGGAAGAGGTTGCCCAGAGAAGTTGTGGATGCCTCATCCCTGGAAGTGTTCAAAGTTAGGTTGGACGGGGCTTTCACTTGAAAGATGTCCCTACCCACAGCACAAGGGTTAGTTCAAGTTACAGTTACAGTTTATTAGGCAGACTTAGTAGACCAGATGAAATTTGATATATAATTTGGAATCACGTGGGAGGGAAGAAGAGAGGAAACTCTGCTCCAACCTTGCTTCACTTTATGAGATGAATTTCTGTCATGAGTGAAAAAAGAGTGCTATGAACAAGTATGTATCTGCTTATTCTTAAAAAATCCATTTCCAAATGGGTTCTGACATTTTGCCAAGGAGAGCATGGAGACACAGAGACAGACAAGGAGACAAGCAGACAGGGCAAAATATTATATGTAGTCACAGATTCCTGGGCAGAAGTAGCTCCTTATGGAGCAGGATAATAGTATCAAGCTCTAACTTAATTTTATCCCATGAAAAAAAGTAGGAACAAATCCTCAGCTTTCCAGAGCTGGACAACTCATCAGGGACTGCATGGGGAGGTGATTTGGTGCAGCCCAGGATTGTCTGGTAACCTCATGGCAGGGATCTGCAAGTGGTAATAACTCCCAGGGGATTTTCAGGGCAGAGTGGGTTCAGGGAGCTCTGCAGCAGGTAGTGCTAAACTACCCTGTTAGTAACATCCTGGGGGCTTGCCTGGGTACTCAGAGAGCAATAAAGCCTGCAGCATAGTTACACAAAGTGTCTTTCCTCACCAGTGCAGGATACAGTCACCTTACTCTCAAAATCTCCTGGGAATGACAGAGGACCTGACTACAGTGCCCAGTTTCTCACAGTGGCCTGGTCTCCCACAGCAGTCCAGTCATGGTCCCTGAACTTCCCTCCCTGGAAGAACCAAACTGGCCTTAGGAAAGAGAACACCATGAACTTAGCCGTGACATCCCCACTGTACTCTAGAATTATCGCCATAGCCCAGCTTAGGATACTGTCAAGTTCCTTGTGGAACAGGACATTTGTTACTGGTTTGAGGCTTTAGGATGTCTCCTTCAGCGTCGTGGTGTTTGTCTTGCCCCATTTGGGTTTCCTTTGGGTCTACGCTGAAAAGATTGTGCATGAACAACATGGCAGACTACTTTCATCTGCCAGTGACGGGCCACTGGAAAAGTGATTTCTCTGTTAGCATATGCAACATATGTATCTGTGGCCTATGGGAAAATAGAGACTGATTATTGATAAACCTTATGTTGTATCTTTAGGAAAGGATACATTATATCAAGCCTCTCAACTTGTAAGGGAAAAAAAAAACAACACAAACAACGTCCATGAGAGGGCAGCAAACGCTCAATACCGGAAATTTTTTTCACCCTTCCTGATCATTTTCAGGTCGAAAGCCAGCTACTGAATGATTTTTGTTAAATACAGCTTCTTGTTTTCAACAGTAAAACCTCAGAAGATTTTCCTCCCCAAGACAAAGCAAAACCAGAGTTGAATAGCTGCCCCTGAAGGACAAAAACATACTTTTTTTTATGTACTTAATTTTTCAATCTCTCTAAAAAATAGCTACATTACTGTCTGTGCCACCACAAGAATGGAAAGTACTGTAAAAATATTCATCCAAAAGAACCGTTTTACCTTAATAAGTTAAAGTGGAGCAAGTAAGCGTTAAACTCTGGATTAGCATACCTTTACTGCTAAACTCTCCTTGAGAAAACGGTCAGAAAGGGCAGGAAATGGAGATGAGGAAGAAATTCAAGGAGGTGTAGAATTTCTCAGAAACACGATTGGACAGATTTTGCTGCAAGATGCGCCATTAAAAAAAACAGATGGAGCAGCTGTTTAAAACACTGAAGCCACATGTGCAAATCAATGCAACCAGGTGAAATTGCAATACATAACACATACCCGTATTTTAAAACAACAGAGTAAAAAATCAGAGAGTGATTTAAGTGATTCAGTAACTGGGAGACCTTTCTATGATCGAGGTTTTATTTCTAAATGATCACGACATATCAAAAATTTTTAAAAATGCATAAACTATTATATACACAGGCCTAACGACTTTGCTATCCGAAAAAAACGAACGTACCGAAAAAGGGCGGCAACATCCAACCGCTGGAGCCGCGGGAAGGGAAACTGGCAGGAAACCCGCATTTTTGTGCTAGCGGGGCGCGCGATAGGGAAAGCAGGGAGATCCCGAGGGAGCGAGCGCCAAGCCCCGCCCCTCCGGGCTGCAGTCCCCAATCAGGTCGGCTCCCACCGCATAAAGGCCGCCGCGCCATCTCGCTCTCCCTACACTCCTTTCCCTGGGGTTTCAGCGGTGCCATGTCCGGGCGAGGCAAGGGCGGGAAGGGGCTCGGGAAGGGGGGCGCCAGGCGCCACCGGAAGGTGCTGCGCGACAACATCCAGGGCATCACCAAGCCGGCCATCCGCCGCCTGGCGCGGCGCGGCGGCGTGAAGCGCATCTCGGGGCTGATCTACGAGGAGACGCGCGGCGTGCTGAAGGTCTTCCTGGAGAACGTGATCCGCGACGCCGTCACCTACACCGAGCACGCCAAGAGGAAGACGGTGACGGCCATGGACGTGGTCTACGCCCTCAAGCGCCAGGGACGCACCCTCTACGGCTTCGGCGGCTAAAGCTTTCTGCTTCCGGACCATCTCGAGAACCCCAAGGCTCTTTTAAGGGCCGCCCACTTCCCTCTAAGAGGAGCTGCAACATTGTTTCTTCTGAAAGGACATTGGAAGCGTCTGCTATTCAATTTCCAAAGTTGTTAAAATTGATAATTACAGAGTACTACTAAAAGGCCTTATGATTCGATAAGTACGATCTAATGGTTTAAATTTGCTGTTAGTGCCGAAGTTGTCTATGCTGCGTAAAAGAGATGCTGTTTTCTTTGTGTGCTCCTTAAATTCCCTTGCAAATGTTGTACCCCACTAAAATCAATTTAAGTGCTCTTAGTAATCAACTGAGTGTTTCTTTTAATCTTCGCCGATTTAAGTATAGTAATCTGCAATATTTTTCAGTGTCTTGTGTTCTAAAATCTTTACTTAACTGAGTATATAATCTACTGCAAGGAAGAAAGGGAAACCAATTTATCACCTCGAGAAAAATTACGGAAGTAGCCCCGAGACGAACATTTTCTTCCTGATGCTTCTAAATAAACTTTTTTCTTTGCTATAACCTGTTCTTAGTTCCTTGTCAGTATTTTTTTTTAACAGCAATTTCATGAGTAAATCTATTCTAGTGTTCTAGAGTACATGGGGGGGAGGGGAACATGACCTAAAAATTACGCCCCTAGCAACACATTTTAAGAAAACGCGTCAAAAGGATTCTTGAGCGAAGGCTTTTCTCATCCTCACATAGAGAGGACTTCTGAAGTCTTTCCTTCGTTACCGGAGTTAAAAACGGCAAAACCCCTTTTTCAGGTTTAGATAAAACTATCGGAAGTCATTGACCGCTTACAAACAGCAGTGATCAGCAAATATTCGTGGTCACTTCTGGTTATGTCACAACCTGAAGGAGTAGGCAAATTAGATAATAGGGTAATTCCGTATTCCTTTTAAACCCTTCATTTCACAAATAAATTCATTGCCTGTTCTCAAAGTCACGATTTTACTTGACAGTACTTATGCGCTCTCATGCCGATTTTCCTGAGAAAAGAAAATAACATGAGAAAAATAGCTGAAAAGATGCTTCTCGATTGTTACAGCTTGTTACATACTTGTTACAGCTACAAACTTGCATTGTAGGATTTCTTAAGCGTCTGTCGCTGTGTTCTGAGATACCGGGCGATGTTTCCCTTGAGGATAATGTGCCTGTTACTGTAAGAGGGGGATCTGTACGGTATTGAAGGAACTTTTTCCTTCTTTTATAACCAGCCCACCAAAAATAACTCTTAAAATAATTAGCGGTTTTAAGAACAGCTCCTGAATTTGAGCCTTAAAAGCCCACATTTGAGCCCACAGGGCTTTTGATGTCAGGAGCCTGGCGGAGAGGGAAAGCCGGAGAAGCAGAAGAGATGCGAGCGCTGCGTTTGAAACCCGCCCACCCCCAGGCCTTGGGCGCGCACCGAAGCACCCGTGAGTCGCAGCGGGGTCGGAGCCGGGGTGGGGGAGAAGCGGGGGTGGAGGCAGCGGCGAATGCAGGAGGCAGCGGCGAATGCGGCTTCCTTGGGCCCCGGCTGGGATTTTCACGGCACCCAATGAGGTCGCGCTTCCGTCGTCCAATCAGAGACGAGGCGGCGCTATAAATAGGGCGCTGGGCGGCTTCTGCCGCTCATTCTGTCTCTCAGGCAGGGGCTTGTAGTGGGTAGCGGATGGCGCGGACGAAGCAGACGGCGCGTAAGTCGACGGGCGGGAAGGCGCCCCGCAAGCAGCTGGCCACCAAGGCGGCCCGCAAGAGCGCGCCGGCCACGGGCGGCGTGAAGAAGCCGCACCGGTACCGGCCCGGCACGGTGGCGCTGCGCGAGATCCGGCGCTACCAGAAGTCGACGGAGCTGCTGATCCGCAAGCTGCCCTTCCAGCGCCTGGTGCGGGAGATCGCGCAGGACTTCAAGACGGACCTGCGCTTCCAGAGCTCGGCCGTGATGGCGCTGCAGGAGGCGAGCGAGGCCTACCTGGTGGGGCTCTTCGAGGACACCAACCTCTGCGCCATCCACGCCAAGCGCGTCACCATCATGCCCAAGGACATCCAGCTGGCCCGCCGCATCCGCGGCGAGCGCGCCTGAGGCTCCTGCCTTGCCACCGCCCAACCCAAAGGCTCTTTTAAGAGCCACCACCCGGTCGCTGGAGAGAGCTGTGTCTCTGTTTTGGAGCAGGCGTAGGCAGCCTGTGGTGAGCGCCCCCTTCCCGTGCTCCAGGCAGCACTGAGGCTGGGGGAACAGGGGGAGCTTCGGGTAGCGCGGGACCCCCCCGGCCCCGGCCCCTGCGTGTTCACCGTTCCGCGGTTCCCTGTTTAAAGCTGCCGGCGCAGGCCGGGAGGAGGGGGGGTCGGGAGCGGTGCCTAGAGAGGAGGCCCCCTGTCAGCACCAGCGGGAGGAGGGGAGGGAGAGAGGGAGGGAGGGAAGGCGCGTTCGCACAGGTCTCGCAGCTTCTTTCCTCTGCGGCCCCTGGGGCGCAACGGGTGCTCTCAGCCGTTTCTTCTCCGCACGCCTTCCCGCTTCGTCCCGCCCGCCTCCCCCGAACGGCAGAGAGGAGAGCACCGCCATTTCGTGAGCTTCCCGGTTGAGGCCGCCGCTCTGAAGGCTTGCGGCCGGGAAGCGGCTGTCGCAATCGCGCTTGCCGCCGCCATCCCGTTTTTCTCGCTTGCCCGTCCCGTCCGTTCCCGTTTCGAAGGAGGACTGGGAGGGGGAGCGACCGGGGTGCGGGAGCAGGACGCGTACGGGCGAGGACGAAGGACGTACGCATCTTTCAGAACTTCAGTGTTTTCCTCTCGGGAGCCGAGCGCTACACCCGCTCCGCTGGCATTCTTCCTAGAGAGTGCCACTGAGACGGAGTCTCTGTCATCGATGTCAAACTCGCCTGTTACTTCAGGCTGGGAGAAGCTCCCGCGGACGGCGGGAGCTACGGGCGGCACCAGCCAGAGCCCAACCGCCCCGCCCCGCCCGTATCACGACCATAGAAATAAGGTATATACGTATAACCCGTGACTAAGGCTCTTTCACGAAAGGGTGGGTGGCTCTGAAAAGAGCCTTTGTGTTCTAGAGACGTAAGCTATCGCAGGAACCGAGTTTAGCCGCCGAAGCCGTAGAGGGTGCGTCCCTGGCGCTTGAGGGCGTAGACCACGTCCATGGCCGTCACCGTCTTCCTCTTGGCGTGCTCGGTGTAGGTGACGGCGTCGCGGATCACGTTCTCCAGGAAGACCTTCAGCACGCCGCGCGTCTCCTCGTAGATCAGCCCCGAGATGCGCTTCACGCCGCCGCGCCGCGCCAGGCGGCGGATGGCCGGCTTGGTGATGCCCTGGATGTTGTCGCGCAGCACCTTGCGGTGGCGCTTGGCGCCCCCCTTGCCGAGCCCCTTCCCGCCCTTGCCTCGCCCGGACATGATCGCGCCTTGCTCGACCCAAGCAGTCTGCGCCGGGAACGGCCGCCAGCGCCGCCCTTTATTGCCAGCGGTCCGACCTGGTTGAGGACTGCGGCGGGGCAGGGCAAGGGCGGGCTCTTCTCCGCGCCCTTCCCCCTGCGGGCAGGGGCGTTCGCGCCGTCGCCTCCGAGGGGCGCCGCGGGAGCGA